TTTTGAACTTGCCATGATGGCGATGTCATGATACAAAGACGTAGGCTGCATGTCGGAAGGTATTTAGACCCAATGGAAAGAGAGACATCGCGCGTCTCCGTGCTATGAGCTCGGATCGACAAATAACATTGCTTTCGAGATATTCTCGGTTTTATCAAAAAGGAATGCCTTCCTACCACGCAGTGAGTCGTGGGCTGTATATCAGAAAGTTCAGTAACCAAGTTCTCTGACACGTAAATTACCATCATATGATGACGAGGAAAAATGAGACGGTCTCAAAGAAAATTAAGAGATCGTTTGTCTTGGATAATCACATGGACCATTGTGATTGTCTCCCATAGCCACTAGCCAGTAAAACTCAAGATCATCATGCAAATCAATCAACGTCACGCGTTCCGACCTCAATGCACTACGGTTGTCATTTTTCCCGTGCAGCCGTACTATCTGTCCGGATTTTATCACATTTGTGTCATTAAACTGTGGCCACGCTCTCGGCCATTTTCCAGCTCTGTCGCGTTTCTCCCCGCGCCGGGCGCAGAGCAGAGCTGCCTCCGTGCTGTGAAGTGCCGGTCTCTGTGACCGATACCCCCACCGGGTGACATTGTTACCACGTGTCCCGTTACCGCTGACACCAGCTGGTACGTCGGCCACCGTATCAGCCCACCAGAGCCCGAGCACGACCATAGACACATCACGTTCCCGGGATTTTCCCAGCCTCCGCCCGCCTGCTGACTCACTAAAGCCGTTAATTTTGATTTTTGCGTGAGCTTTGATGGATCTGGTGTTTGGACACTAACAGTAAGCTTTCCGAGAAAGTGTCCCACATGCCGAATAAAATTTGCGGTGAAATTGTGGTCGTTTTTTCTATCTCGTTTGTCAGGTGACATGCGACGCTGCCATGGTTGCGGTTCTGCATCATGCATGCTGCACAGTGCACATCAAACATAAATATATGTTTTATTCTGGGGTTGAAAGGAGTCAGTACACTATCGCTGATGCTACATTACTCTTATCGCCCACTGGTGTTTCAGCGAGAAAACGGAACAGGCATTGAATTATAACGGTCCCTGAAGCCGAATGATGATTAGATGGTGCATTATTATCGAACTTAAAGCATTCTTCTGCCAAAATTCACCGATCCCTTGTCACTCAACAACGGAATTTCCAAGCTCGCCGTCACAGCACATCACTTCTACCGAACTAGCAGTTTCACCAAGCTTCTTTCACAATACCGATTCCAGTTGATTCGTTTTTATCTCTTGTCATTCCCGCCTGCCCGACACCGTCCCCACTAGCCCTCCCCTCTCGCGGCTCACACAAGTGCCCATTCAGACCGCAGCGTCGTCGCTCTCCGGAAGCGCGAGTCACCAAACGGCATGAGACTTTCTCCGGTCTCTCCGCCGAGCGAAGGAGCCGGCCGGCTGCTGAGCGGACTGGAGCCGGCCGGCCGGCGCCGAGACCGTTCCCGACCACCAGGGCGATGTAACGGGCCGCCGCCGAGCCGAGCGGAGAGCGTGGCACGCATCACGTGCGCCACGTCGCCCCGGGGCATCGCTCGGCGCCGTCGTGCGGCATGTCGCCTCGGGGCATCGCTCGGCACTGACAATGACACGAGCATGTGTATCACCTGCATATGATGAACATTGAAATCAGAGGTGCAAATTTTCTGGATAAGCTCACTATTGCCCTCACACTGGTGATAATCAAAGGCGTATATTTGTCGGAAATGACAGATCAAGGTCATACACTATAACGACAAATAACTGGCTGCTGGTCAGCGGTTATGTGCGTTGCATATTTCCGTTGGAACCCTTCTCGACATAACGTTTGTCACCGGTATGTTTCTTATTAGAGATGTCAATCGGATACCAACTTTTTGGTATACCGATACCAAACCGATACCAACTTGGTATTTGGTATTTCAATCCTAATGTACTTGGTATTTTTTTTTGGTATTATGAGCCCTCACTTACGTATAAGAAGGCTGAGAAATTGGTAAAAAGTCTGTATTTCCCTCATGTTCTGAAGTTGGTTCGGTATCGGTATTTCCTTACGGTTTATGTTGGGATTTGGTTTGGTATCGGTATTCAGATGTTCTGTTACGAACATCACTATTTCTCATATCCAATATTCAGATATGTATATACCTGGGCCGTGAGGAGGCTTCAAGCTTCAGCGTGCCGGAGAAGGGCAATGAAGCATCACATTTCTAGCCACAAACCTCTCCAGTTGCTCTTCCCTGTCACACTCACGAGAGAATGGCTGATATAGACCACCTCGGTCGAGACATCGGCCCGCTTTCTATCACTGCCGATGTAGCCTGCGTCCGAGCTTGGACGCTGCGAAGACGGGAGACTGATGATTCTCTTTTGTTCGCAGGGAGCCGAGGTGGTGGAACGTCTGAATGAAACCGGAGAGCTGCGCAGGATGCTCAAACGTTTCAAGGTAAGTGACAGGTGGCGTGAGGAGGCCTGAGGATCAGTCTAGCGAGTCGACCAGACCATCATCCATCGTGGAAACCGGGTTGTTTACGCTGAGTGATGGATTCAAACTTACAAATCGTTCCGATTGGACGACTGTGAAAGTTGTTATGACTGAGCGCTTCGGATGTCTAGCGTTGGGCAAGTATTAAATGCTGAATTTATGAAAGCTGATTCTCATCGATGAGCTATGGCAACACACTCATGAGATCCAAAAGATAGCTAATGGTATCGACATTGCCGTGCCAAACGACTTCGTGACTTCCACATTTTGGTTTCGTGCTCCAGTATAAGCGCAAGGTCATCGGGCAGTATATCCGTGATATCAACATCCCCTGACGCCCACTCCCTGTAATAAACTCTTGTGCAATCGGTAATTCGGTCGGCACTCTGAGTGTCACCTTTCGGCAGTCATGTCACGGCCGTTTCAGTCACCCGGAAGGGCGCTCTCAGTAGTCACGCGCTATGCTTGGCCACTGGCCAGTGGCCACCCATACCAACATTAGCCCGATATTGCTAACCTTGCGTGGCCCGTGCGGCGCCGCTTAACCCCCCCAGTGACCTTGTGTGACCTTACAGATGGTCGGACCGCCCAGCTCGTGCGGCAAATGCGGCGGCTTCCGGATGCTGCCCTGCACCTCGTGTAACGGCTCCAAGAAGTCGTGCCACCGGAACCATTTCACCGAGCAGTGGGTGGTGCTGCGCTGCGGCGCCTGCGACCAGTCCGGCCTGATCCGCTGTGACCTCTGCCTCAGCTGACCTGGAGGTCACGGCCGTGACCTCCGCCGAGGGATGGAGAGATGATCAGTGAATCAATACACTGACCTTACCGGACAGGCGCTCGTGTGACCTTTGGTGACCTAAGTGGCCTGTTGGTAGCGTGCTGCTTCCGACGTGGATGATAGGTCATTGAAGACCTCGACAGGAGGCAGAGGTCAAGTGAAACGTCGGTGACCTGTATCGATCAGCTCAACGCCAAGCAGGAAGCAGGCACATCTCTACCGCCTTATGCAATGTAAAGTAGCTGGTCTCCCTTTTGGTCGAGGCGACCACCAGAGGCAAGTCGTCATTGACTTGCACATGAACTGTACAGACCGGTCTGTAACGGACAGTGATGAGTTTAGATAGGAGTGAACTCTTCAGTGGTGCTGAAAGGATTCAGCGCACGTAAAATACCGCATATTGTGATCCAGGTCGTGGTATGAACTTCAGTGCACTGCCACCGATAAATATGGAAGAATATCTCTCCTTGTTTTTAGGCGAGAATGTTTCTTTCGACTAGTGCTGATGCTCACAAAGCAAATGTGTAAGTGTCGCTGGTTCCATATACTGTAGGTAGTGTTTATTTTATTGGGCTTTGGTTTGCTCGAACTTACCGAGGGATTGATTTAGATGTTGCTAATTAATAGGATTTGTGATCCAATTTGAAGCCAACCAGAGTGACTGTTGTACTTTTGCTATATTGCTTCATGGGGTAATGTCCTTTTAGTCTTTCTCTCATCTTCTTTCTTCAATGTAGTCGCGTATACCATGTTAGAGCCCATCAATATGCCTTTCATGTTTGCAAGTGTTGTCTGGAACGGGTCGGAACATGCTTGCTGTCAAGGACCAACGACTGTCTCCGCTAGTGCAATAGCGGCATGGCTGACAGGGGATGCCGCTGATTATGTCGATGATGTCGCATGGTTATGTCTGAGGTGATGCGAGTTATACAGTTTGGTGCAGTTATATTCTCATCCCTCCGGTGGGAGCCGGCGGAGAAGGGTTTACGAGACAGTCAGGGATCAGTCCAGACCGTTCGTAAGGTTGTGGTCGTCCAGGTATAATCGATGACGTCATATACACGGTTCAGAAACTGGTTGTGGTTGGAGCGGAGAGCGGCGCCTGGTGATTGATGACGTCATTTTGTGACGTCACTCGGTGATAGAGGACGGCTGTCGCAGCTCTGAGAGATACGGCCTGTTGTGTTGGAACGTGTGGTCTCTGGGACGGCCGTGTGTATCCCGCTTCAGAGCATCGCGTTATTCGGAATAAATGGCAATCAGTAGCGTCGGCACTTTTTATCCACAAGCATAAGTACCTACAACGGTGCTTGTTAGGCATTTAACATTAAACTTATTTTACGTTTTACCCGTTCTTTCCCATTTACAACAAATTACTTTTAACACAATAGTGATCAATAAAGACGGTTGAGTAACGTGACAGGCACACAGCGATAACCTGCTACAAAACATTACAGACAAATTATAAGTGTTGCTATCAATGCAATCTATGCTGAGTCATCACTCACCACCATACATTTCGCCACTTCCTGATCACACAGCGCAGTAAAAATAGTCACAAAGCCGGTGTGTCTCACTGCCTATCACGTATAAAAATGACGTAATTCAAGGCGTCTCTCGCCCTATCGCAACGCATATCAGATAGTCGGGCCTGACAACAAGGCAGGTATGACAAGGTGACGCTACGTTTCCACTCGGAACTCGGAGACGTAAGAGGACCGTTACTCGGCCGCGGCTAGCCAGTCGCCTGGTGAGGTTCTGGTAGCCAGGTCAGCAACGCTCCAGAGAACATCAACTGAGTATCGCCTTGCCCTTCTACAAACTGAGAGCATTAATCAGTTCCGTGAGTAATGAGAATGCCAAAATGTTTCCATCTCCGACAACATAATCGATGTTGCAAATATATTTGATATAGACATGCATTATGCAACGTATATCCTTATACATTATAAAACGAAGCGGATGCTGAGCTGAACTAAACATTCACGTTCTCAAGTAACTTGAACAAACGTGGCGTAATCTCACAGCAACTACGTCTTCAAATAACATCTTTTCAAAGTCTCCTGTCCTAAAAAGAAGGCCCTGAGGCTAAGCACCGCTTCTTCCACAGCACCTCCACCTCCCAGAGCTGTCATGGAGTTGATTTGGTTCGCCCTGGTTCTCCTCGTCCTTCACTGGCTGTACCAGAACACGAGAAAGCCGGTCAACTACCCGCCAGGTGAGCTGCCGTGAGGATCAGAAAGGTAATTGAAAGATATCAGACACAGGCAGATCAGGTCGTGCTGACGTACAGTAAAACACGGTGTTGAGTCAGGCCCATGGGCCCGGATTATGGGGTCAAGCCAGAGAACAGGAACATGCCAGGAACTGCCCCATATCTCTGCCAGCGACGCAGTGCAGTGGGCCGAAACAAGTTGATTTTTTGATGCGGGACGGAATCTGTTATGTGGAGTAGACGGAAACTTACAATTACAAAATATTGCTTCAATAGTTTACAGCTGTCGACCTCTGCCCCCCCCCCCCCAAACATTTAGGATGCATACCACAAGACTAGCTTCCTCTGCGCCTTTGCACACAAGCTTTCGCCTGTCGCCTGTTTAGTGTTTACTTTGTTGCCGATAGATGGCAGCAGTGGTCGACGCCTGAAGTTAGGCTGTACCGTATAACTGCGTTCGGCGGCTGGCGCGGCCTGTGCGCGGCGGAGGCCGGTTGTCGTGGTCTTCACTTGCTTTGTTGATATTCACAAATGCGATAGCGCACAGTAGTTGTGCCCTTACAGCACATTTATAATTTTTTGCCGTTTATTCGTCAGGACCATTGCGTCTTCCCTTGATCGGAACGATGTGGAAGTCACACCGAGGCGGAGGACCGCCGTTTATTCGTCACTGCGCTATGGCTCGTCAATACGGAAAGGTAGGAGGAAATTCTCAACATCCGGGTGTAACTAGGTTGGGACAGTTAAGTTGGAATTGTCATTTATCACACTGCAACAGCCAACAAGTTGGTTACTGATCAATACAATATGGAAAGAACTATGTCCTGCAGGGGGCAGACACATTAATACCTAATAAATACCGCAGTGAATACAAAAGTCATCTCACGATAAGGAGTAGTTTGAGCTGCGGAAAGAAATATAAAGCAAGTCTAATGTCTATGCTTTTTATGCACATTACACAGCCCATAGAAGTAACGCTAAAATAGAAAGCCATTGATGGCGAGTGACGCGCCGGCCACCAGTGTCGGGGCCAATATGCGGATTGGAAGCATTTCTCATTGCAGGACATTTTCCTCAGTAGTTTGTACCGGCTTCATCAGTTACTAACAAATCAACCGAAGGAATCAAACGATCATGCCAAAGTGACCAAAATGGCCTGATTTGCCGAATCATTTTACAGCTGGTCGGTTACTTCACGTTCCACCAGCCGGCGGTGATGATCTTTGACGCAGATCTCGCACGAGAGATCCTCTCCAAAAACGAGAGCACCGGACGGCCCCACCTGGAGATTCTCAAAATGAGAACATTCGGCGAGCTCAGAGGTGAGTGTGTGATGTAATGCTAATGGGTCTCGTCTGATTCGAGTAGCACACCATTCCTTAGCCTGAGTTATTCGGGAGTGAGATGTAGCGAAATATTTTCAGCGAAGTAGTTGGTGATATAAGAATGTAGGTAACAGCTCTTTAATTCTGGCGGTTATTTAGGGTAAAGTAATGCAAAATATTAACCCTCGCACCGACGGGGGGGGCGGATATCCGCCCCCTGAGGTTTTTCGCGAATAGCGGGAAAACCGCGGCGCGTAGCGCCGCTAAATTTGGTATGACTATAACCTCATCAATTTTACACATGGTGTGCAAGTTTGAACCTCCTACCTTTTAAGGTCAGGTCACCAGGTCACTTTGAATGACCCAACCTCAAGTCACTGTTTTGCAACTTTGTCACCGTGCCAGAGCCACAGTAGATGTCGGAGGCCTTTGAAAGTCGCAGGATATTATTAGTCATTAGTAGCTACAATTTGTATATCTCGGAATTTTGATATCCGTGACCTAAGGTCAGGTCAATTTCGCGACCTCCCCATTGTAAGTCAATGGGGGAAAAATCAACTCCCTGTTTTTACCACTAAAACGGGTCGGAATGGCCCCATATACCATACATGACTTCATATACGATCAACCTTCACTACCTTGAGGTCTGTTTTGCTGTTGGGCAGCTGTGAGGTCATGTGACGTCATCAAAGGTCACCAAAGGTTTTTGGCCAATAACTCCGTACAGGAACAAGATACAGACGCGTGGATGGTCTCATTGTGTTCAGCTCGTCAAGACGCATCGAATGATATACATGATGACCTCGAGGTCACGTGACCTGAGGTCAACCTTTGACCTTGACCTTTCGAGGTCAACATATATATCATTCGATGCGGATTGACGAGAGGATCACGATGATGCCCTTAATTTGTTCCTATCTTGACTAATTCGAAAGTTATTCGAGAAAAACTCTCCATATCTAGCGCCGCCATTTTGACTTTTTCGACCCCTGTGACGTCATCTTTGACCTGACCTGAAAATGACCTTAGTAAAAATTGTAGATCTTGGCCGTGCGTATCCGATGCCGTTTACCGCTTGTCGCTATCTTGCTTCGTTCTCGAGATCTCAGGGGGGGGGGCGGTCATCCGCCCCCCCCCGTCGGTGCGAAGTTGGCGCAGACCCCCGTCGGTGCGCGGGTTAAAAATGCGACCAGCGCACATGACATGGTTGCAATCGAAGTGGATTTTTGTGTGTAATATACTTGAGGAATTATTTTCGATAAAAAGTAAGAACATCAAATATGCCTTCCATAGGACGAGCAGCTTTCGTTCCCGTGTCGCGCCACTAGCTCTCTCGCTATCCACTCCCCGTAACTCCCGCCGGCTCTCTTACAGGCATTCTGTTCAACGACGGCGCCTCGTGGCAGCGGCAGCGGCGGTTCGCGCTGCACCACCTCCGTGACCTGGGCATGGGCCGCTCCACGCTGGAGGGGATCGTTCAGCGAGAGGTGACCGACCTGGTACAGAGGCTGAGGGACACCGCCGGCAGACCGGTGGCCGTCGATCACTTCTTCAACGTGAACGTGCTCAACGTGCCCTGGGAGATTGTGGCCGGAATCAGGTGGGCAAGAGATATGAGGTAACTGGTTAGTAGTCGCAACGAAAGCACGCGGAAATTATTTCTAAGAAAGGTTGACGCGCCAGTTTGATCGAGCACTGAGTCAAAACGACGAATGGTAGTAATTAGTATCCAAAGGCCAGCAACGAGGCAAACAACCGACTTGGCCACCTTGAGAAATAAGTGCGTTTTTTATTTTCAATTCCAATCCCCGTGGCACGCCCCTGGCCGTCAGGTTTCAGCCGGACGACCCGCGTCTGCCCGTCATCCTGCGCTCGCTCAGTGACGCCAGCTCGCGCAGTACGGGCCTGCTGAACCTCATACCGGTGCTGCTGGGCCCGCAGCTCGGGGCACCGATCGCCCACAAACTGTACAGCGGCGTCCGGCGCAACCGAGACGGACTGGTAGAGATTCTAAAGGTCAGCTGGAGAGAGGGGGGGGGGGTAGACTGATGGGGACAGCAGAGTAGCCCAAGAATGACGAAACAGGATCTATATGTCACAAAAAGGATATACGTGTTAGAAATCGATAGCTAAATTTGATTCGGCAGAAGTCAGCTAACACGCATGCCGCGTTAAGTTCACAGATGAACCGTATGCGGTAACTACCCCTAGTTTCACCACTGAATAGATTTAGTGCCCTACCAGACTCAAACTTTTATCTAACTAGTCAAGTGCCACTTTACCGAAAATTTCATCAGTTCATTGCAATGTGTCGACACATGTCATACGAAATTGCTGACTCATCGTCAGCTTCCACATACGCAGCTATCTGCGCAACATGGCCTAGGATCACGCGTTGCTACCATATCTGACATCTCCGTTATCTAGACCATGTGTGCGTTCTGCCAAAGTGCAAGTTCGAGGGTATCCGCATCACTAGGCGGTGCTCGAGTCGATGAAACTGTATCCGTATCGCCTGTGGCCCTACCTCACCTTCGCTATGCTGCTCGAATGCGAATCGTTGAATGACGCAATGGGGACACCGTTCAAATAGATTAACGCCTTCCTTCGAGAGTCACGTTTCTTATGAAGCACCAGAGATGACTGGTGGTGTGAGAAGAAGATAAGCAATCAACCTCCGATCCTTGTATTAGTATTGCTCGTCATTGTCACGAGTGCGATTGTTGCTAGGTGATCGTAAAAAAGATACCGTGCGATCGTATTTGCACACGCCACACAACGAGTGATAAGTGCAATGTATCCGGTTTTGATTTCACAGAAGGAGATACAAGGCCACAGAGCGACGCTGGACCCCGAGTCTCCGAGGGACTTCATTGACGCATTTCTTATTGAGATGGCTAAGTCGCCACAGGAATTCACAGGCAAGTTTTTTGACATAATGTGTGGAGAGCAGCAGTAAATATCAATAAAACAGAATACCTAAGACCTAAGTCATTAGCGTTAGCAAGATTGTCTTATTGTTTTGGCTTCACTTCCAATATGCTTAGCAATTAACATAGGCAGGTACGTCGACCTTCACCTGACGTCTTCTTTTTCAGACTCTTTCGATGAGAAAAAATAGTGCTTGATTGTGTGACAATGCCCTCACTCTCTCGCTCAGTCCTCGAACTGACCCCCTCTCCCTCCATCCATCTCACAGAGCTGACGCTCTACTCTGTTCTGATGGACCTGTTCACGGCCAGCACGGGCACCAACAGCGTCACCCTGGAGTGGGCCGTGCTGCTGCTGCTGCTGCACCCCGAGTGCGGCCGGCGCGCGCGCCAAGAACTGAACTCAGTGGTGGGCCCCGGCCGGCTGGTGACCCTCGAGGACAGGGCCCGCCTGCCGTATACACAGGCACTGCTGGCTGAGGTGCTACGCAGGAGCTCGACACTGGCCCTGGCCGTGCCGCATCGGGCAGAAGCCGATATCACGGTGGCAGGTACGGCAGGGGGTGGGGGAGTGGGTGGGGACGGAGGGAGTAAGATGAGGGCAGAGAATGGGGCATGTAGAGAACCGAACACGAAAACAGGAAGGATCTGCCATTTCATGAATCACTACAAATTATGGCTAGTCATGGTGTTTTCGGTATATGGTCTCGACAGTTGATGATGCTATAAAGATATCACTGTTTGATCGCACTGGAAACAGATAAGGCGCTGTGAATGACGAGGCAGACTGGGCGCAACGAAAGTACCGCCTCCCAAATATGCCAAGTTGAGGTTATTATTCCATCATTCCTTGATAACAATTCAATACGCACGACTATCCGATAATGATGCATTTAGAAAACCCGTCAAACCCACCAACGCATAGAAACATCTACCACAAACGTACTTACAAATACCCGACACTAAACAGCAATGTCTTCTCAGCCATCAGGCGCGACAACCTCTCCACTCCCCCTGGCAGGGGACAGCATACCCGTGGACACGCGTCTAAAGACACATAACCCTCCTCCCCTCGCTCCCCGGCAGGTTACCGGATACCCAAGGACAGTCGTCTCCTGGTGAACCTGTACGCTATCCACCACGACCCGGAGTACTGGGCCGACCCGCTCGAGTTCCGGCCGGAGCGGTTCCTACACGACGGCCAGTACCGGCCCGACAAGCACCTGATGCCGTTCGGAGTCGGTGAGGAGGGGAGCGGTGGATTCAATGGTTGGAGCATAGGGTTGGTGGGTCTATGGGTTGCGATTAAATAGACAATGGTTCTTTAAGAAATTCATTTACTTATGAAATTATGTTGGTTTGTGTTAATGAGAATGCCTGCTCGTATGTGCGCAGAAATTTACGACTTGTCGCCAATGAAGTCGTTCGCGTCTACCTATATTAGCCATGAATAATCGAACTAAATAACACGTCATCATGTTAGCTCAAATCCAAGCAAGGCTCAGATCTAGCCATGGCCAGTGTAACTACACTACTGTTGTTCCAGTAATCCCTGTATGCCTGTTCCAGGTAAGCGTGTGTGTATGGGCGAATCGCTGGCCCGCATGGAGCAGCTTCTGTTCCTCGCCAACATCGTACACCACTTCGAAGTGCTAACGCCCGCGGGGGAGGAGGCGCCGCGGTTCGACTACGTCTGCGGCACCCGCAACTCCCCAGCCCCCTTCAGGGTGGTGTTCAGATCCACAAACCCACAGGCTGTGAACGAGAGTGGGTGAATGCAGAGCGAATCCCTATGTACTAGAGGTGGCAAAAGATGAAAATTTTGGGAACCAGACTCGAAGCAGACCCGGCTGGACATTTCTGGAACCAGTCGGACCCGGCCTTAGTTGGAATCGGAACCAGTTGGACCCGGTTCCCCAAAAGTCAATTAATACAAACTACTTGTAGGTATCATTAGTAGCAACATGTAAAGCAGCCTATTTCCCACTGGGAGTACTCATGAGCTACTGTGTGCCAAGAAACGTTCACTTCATATTTTGCAATAATGTGTAGTGTGCAAGATGTACAGTTTATGGTAGGACCCGGTTGGACCCGTCAGAAAATTTCCAGGAACCGGTCTGGACCCATATGGGTCCAGACTGGTTCTTTGGACCGGGTCCTCGGGTCCACATTTTGCCACCTCTACTATGTACGAAAGGAAATGTGTATAGCTCTTGAAGAGCTTTCAAAGCAAGGCTAATGGCGAAAGGGATAGATAGTCGGCGATGTTATGTTACCATGGCGACTGGGGAGTCAGGAATGCGGTGCAGCTGTGGTTACCAGGATATTCTTAACTGTGATGTATACTTAAGGACGGGTTATAAAGACAATATGTTACTCGTATATTATAGGGATTGCTTATCGCATGATGTTATTGGTTGTCAAGAGCAATTCAAAGTGGAACCTACTGCTACTTCTGCTGTTCATTGTACTTTTGTTATCAAGCATTGTCCCAATACCCAAGCATTGTCAAGTGCTTTACAATATATTATCTTATCACAAGGCGCTGTGTAATGGTCATACAAGATCCCAAAAAGAGCACAGCAATACAGCTGACACGATGATCGGCACATTACCCCACCACGAGTCCCCTCCCCCATCGCGACCGGCGGGTCCGAGCCTGCCTTTTTCAGTGATCCGTTCGGTCCCTCTCAGAAGTCGAGCGGCGCGCCGGGTCGGGCAGCCTGGCACCCGGCGCTCGGTCGGCCCTTCCGAGCCGGTGCCGAGTCATCCTCCTGAGACCGGCTGGCTGTCTCTGAGAGCTCAGGTGGCAGGTGTAGAGTCTGGGGACGGCGGAAGGAGGGTTAGACATAGCCGGTGGAACGGTCCCAACGCGGCAAATGTACCGTGACGGGGCGGTCCTGATAAAGTTCACTAGGTTAGCGAGTAGCGACAATGTTCGAGATACTCTGATAAAGCAGAGATAACCTGACTCGTGGGAGCATCGCGATAAAAAGAGCACCGTGTCGGTTTCGATAACGTGAACTGAGAAGCAGGGCGAGCTCATTCACTGATAACAAGGAGCGAGATAAGGTTTCGAGAGCACTGTCTAAACAAACGATGTGGATCGAGAAAATTACCGCTATTAAGGAAAATAGATACCTAATTCGCATCTTACGGACGCCTCTCTGTCTCTCTCTCTGTCTCTCTGTCTCCGTCTCCGTCTCCGTCTCCGTCTCCGTCTCCGTCTCCGTCTCCGTCTCCGTCTCCGTCTCCGTCTCCGTCTCCGTCTCCGTCTCCGTCTCCGTCTCTCTCTCTCTCTCTCTCTCTCTCTCTCTCTCTCTCTCTCTCTCTCTCTCTCTCTCTCTCTCTCTCTCTCTCTCTCTCTCTCTCTCTCTCTCTCTCTCTCTTCCTCTCTCGACTCTCTCCCACACGTTTACACTTGCACTCACCTCAACTGAAAACTTTTTCCGCCGGACCTTGAAGGCGAGGTCGGGGTGCCGCGGGTAGCGGGCAGCCAGGACGTTACGGGCCGACAGTCTGTGGACATGTACCAGACCGTGGTACTCGCTGAAGGCCGGGCTCTCGGCCGCCGGAGTTCCCTGGAACGACTCCAGGCCGATAGAGATGTCGGCGCACCGCCGCAGCCGCGCCACCAGCGCCTCGTCCTGGAGCGGCCAGCGGATACAGGGTCAGTGGGGGACGCTGCAGCAAGTAACTAGTGAGCAGAGAGGATGATACACTCTGACGAGGGAACATTTGAAAACATTAATATATTCCTTCAGAAAGTAAGCAACTGATAAAAGTTTGACGCCTGCTCCATTGAATCAGAATTTGAGCCAAAATCGTAGGATGCGCCCGCACTCCGCAAATTTCGCCTAGGACATAATTCAACACGACTCTACCCAACACTCATAGGTACCCTCACTGACTACTACGCTCCCAACGCTCCCTCCCCACTTCCACCCTTCCCAGGCCCCTCACTCACCGTCCAGAGATGTGTGGGCACGGTGACCATGGCCACAGCGCCGGTGACCCTCAGTAGCGCCCTGAGTAAGTGGCACGCGCGCACCACCCGCTCGGGTGGCGCCGACCACAGCGGAGAGCCCAGCGAGCGGACCGCCAGCCGGCGGACCGTGGGGCCCGTGTCGGGCTCGGCACCGGACGCCAGCCGGTCACAGGCGGCCAGCAGGGAACCGAGACGGTCAGAGGCGGCCGCGTAGTCTGCCCGGGCAGTGGATGGGTCAGAGCACGAAAGTTAGCGACAACATGCTTCAAAAGAACGCTATTTGACGAGAAAAAAGAGGATAACTTATCTTTTTATCTTGTAAGATACTGTTAAAACCACGATACAAATGCATGTTGTGTATAGGGTACCATGCGATGGTTAACATACCATTACCGGGAGGTTCTTCCTCAGGCCATAGCGATATATCCATGGCATCGATGGCTGACTTCTCAATGTACCGACTGAGATCGTAATGCTGGCCAAACCTGAGGACAAAGTTGGCAGGGGCTTATCAGCTTTTTCCGATCAAACAAAACTGTAAAATAAAGTTATATGGTACGGCGGTACCGGTTTTATCTATTCCACTTAAAACGCAAAACTTACGAACTTATGAATGAAATACAGCCTTATTTTGGCATATTGTTACCTTGGGATATGCTATGTAAGTGGACGCCGACTTGCTGTGCTGGCAAAGCTGGGATTAAGCTGGCTGCGTGGTACTCGCTTAAGGCAGGGTTAATAGATAGCTGCCTACCTGCCGGCGGCGGGCGCCTGCTGCTGCGGCAGGCCCTGGTACCTCCAGGCGATCGTCATCCTCTGGTCGGCGGCGTCGGCTGGCGGTCGAACGGCCGTCACCTCGCCATCAGCCGGTGAGGGCAGCTCCAGGATCTGCCAGACCGAGCGACGGCGGTGCGGTGAGGGCGGCGATCGCGCTTATTTGTGGGGAACGAGGTGGTCGCAGGAAAGAATGTAAACACGATGTTAAACGGAAAACCTAACCAAACATTGTTACGAGCGAGCGAGCGCAGCGAGCGAAGTGAGTCTTTTCAGTATAACGGAAAAATCTCAGTATGAGCGGCCCGGCCCGGCCCGGCCTGTAACGCTTTTGAGAGGCTTATATCTCAGCAACCGCTGGGCCGATTGGCCTGCGTTTTTTTTTTTTTTGCTGGGTAGCCCCATTCCTTCTACCCCGTAATTGACTACTTTTGATACATCTCAGTGACCGTCGTGGCACGTGCCACGTGAAAAGTCAAGGGTGTTCAAGCTGTTTTGCAAAAGCAGTGATTTTGAGAGGCCCATAGCTCAGCAGCCGCTTGGGCGATTGTCTTGCGGTAATTTTTGTAGGGTAGCTGCATCCCTTCTACCAAAGGTCGGATACTCTTGATCTATGTGAGTGACCCCCACTGCACGTGCAAAATGCAAAAAGAAGAGGTGCCAAATTTGTTCCCATTTCAATAACTCGGTAATTACTGGGGTGATTTCGCTGAAACTTGGCATACAGGCAGGTAGGCACCCACCAGGCAATGCATTCCCATGTGTTGCGGTTAGGGTGCTACTGCACGTGCGCACGTGCAGGGGGCGCTCCCAGATCTCTAGAACGGCCGGGTCGATTGCGCTCAAATTTGGTACACGGTTGGGGACCAGTTAGTAGGGTGCCGTGCAAAAGTCAGTTTGGACCCCGTTTGCACGTGCGCACGTGCAGAATGCCGCTTCCAGATCTCAGGAACGGCTGGGCCGATTGCGTTCAAATTTGGCACACCGCTAGCGACCGGTTAGAAGGGTGCTTTGCACAAGCCCGTTGGAAGTGCCCTCTCGCCCTTCCGCACGTGCAGGGCTCACTATCTCGCTCGCTCGTTCTTCGCCCAAAAGGCGTTTTACTGGTAATATATTTATGAAGATCATGCCGAGGCGATAATGTAACGGTTTTTAAAGCATTAAAAATATATATCGTGCCTAAAATACTTCGTTACTGATCCAAGATGCAACATAGTAAAAACCTCCTCAAGGATCCATCACCGTCTTACATGAGGATTGAAGAATCCCCACGACACGACAGCACAAGGCAGTCCGACACTCACCATTTTGGAAGGGTCGGCGTCCAGGCTGGCCGCCAGCAGTCTGTGCCAGTTGCAGACGGCCTCCGACATGAAGTAGCTGAGCACCAGGTGGGCGTAGTCACCGTACTGGTCCTCCTCTGTGGACCACACACATGGAAAACATCTTACGGCACGGATCTAAAACGGGTAACTTAATGGCTAAAATATCAGTCCCGGTAACCCTAGTGAGGAAAATACAGAGCCTTTTGTTAGACCACAAAAAATTACAGCGGGCATTCCGCATGAGGATAATTCTGACGTCATAATCAACGCTAAGCAGAACTTTTGGCATAGGTGTACTATCCGATAAGGAATTCAGGCACACACTATAAATACACGGCATAGCAGATAGGTAAATGGCAGCAATCAAAGTTGAACGTGTCCGTGTCTACGTAGCCAGGCGCAGTCCGCCCCTCTCAATCCTCTACCGAGATCTCCGCCATATTCCGCCCCTCTCCACCCTCCAACGAGATCTCCGCCACAAACCGACATTTCCGGACAAATCGTCGTCTAGACAAATCTCCGTTCGACAGTTTTCATCCAAAGGAATGAATATAAACATAACAAAATACACCAAACCTAATCTAACAGCTTTCAGCATTGCCTAGAGCCTATTCAACAATTCTTTAGAAAAGGTTCAATGAACGAATAATTGTTCTGAAAATAAATTGTCCGGAACAGCAGCCCGATAATTATTTCCGTCGGAAAACAATCGGTAGTGCTGAAGCGGCACACTGGGCCCTCACTTCCACTGTTGGCTCAGGTAACTGACACCCCACTGAACCAATGAGGTGGACAGCTCTGTTACCTGTGTCAGCAAAGCTGGAACAATCACACTCGAATCTTATCCTGCAAGCATACCAACTATTTGGCATTCATAGGTAGGTATGCTTGCTAATGCTTATGCTCTTTCCACAGAATACAAAGCAAGGAGGGTGATTCTACAAGGTAATTGGCAACTTAAATGTGGCACTTGGTGAATCCTTAATTTTCTTCATGAACACAGCTGAACTAAACAGTGAACACAATGAGGCAAAGTTCACTGGCATGCCCAGCAAGTGATTTATATGGTTATTTATAGGGCAGATTCCATTAAGACTTCTCAGATACCTACTTACCAATAATAACCAGTGATCCAAGTGGTATGCCTCCATCTGCCAAACACAAACAAAAGAAAGCTTAGATCATACCATTAGTAGGCTCATGTATAGCCATGGTTCTAGGTAATAAGTAGTAACAATGCAAAATTATTGGAGCTATGTTATGTCCTAAGCAGGCCTTAATATGCTATTTTATCTGCTAAGTCAGAACAAAATGAAAGAGGAAGGTTATGATGGGCTAACTCCCAATAGTCCCTTGTACTACTGGACTAAATATTCTCTACTGAAAGAGTTTTGTTGGTGAAATACAGAACTGTGCAAGGTTACACCATAGGGTACAAGGTGCTAGGTAGGTAAATCAATGGAAAATGCATAGGCATATGGATGAAAAATAGAGCCAATAATGACTCCCACTTGCCAATAACATGATCTAGAGATGGTATGCCAGATGACACTATAGTCTGCCCTGAATGCAAGGATGGCTTTGTGCCATGGACTTTCAGAGAATTGTCATTTAATTTCTGAAGGCTTGACATGGCACTGCACCTGAAACAAATAGAAAATAATGGTATTATACAGCTGGAGGCAGCATTTCTTGTCAGCAAAATATTGTAAACAGGGATGCGGAGCCGGAGCCGGAGCCGGAGCCGGAGCCGCCGGAGCCGGCATATTTTGCCCGGAGCCGGAGCCGGAGCCGGAGCCGTGAAACAATGTAGCCCGGAGCCGGAGCCGGAGCCGGAGCCGTCAAAAAAGGGGGCGACTCCGGCTCCTTTTTTTAGAGGAAACAATTATTTACCTAGTTCGGTTTGACAGTAGGGACCGTCGAGGTCCTGGTCAGTGTTCTCTACCTTCAGTGTTCGCATACACGGTTACACCTCGCCTCGCATTCAAAGCAATGCTGCCACCACCTACAAGGCGTATAACAATGTGGTATTCAAAATAGCCTTGTTATACAAATACAGTAGCAACGTGCACCATTCCCATCGCCTTTTTTCTTCCACCCGTATTTAACCCACGAGCCGCTGGGGGGGGGGGGGCATAAAGTTGCCCCCCCTTTACGTTTTGTGAAATATCTCCGAAACCTGATGAGCTACGAACGTGAAACTTGGCATACCTTCAAATGAATACCTAGGCAATGTTTGAGGAAAGTTTTGTGGTTGTAGCACCTAAGATGACGTCACAGTGACGTCATAAAGTTTTGCCGTTTTCCGATATGGGCCGTTTCTGATGACGCTGAGCATGAAACTCGACTGTAAATGAACTAAACAGCACCTGCTGTCATCCTAAAACATCTAACTACACTTCCATCTAGTTTCTGACCAATAATCGGCCCTTTATATTCGGTCCCATATATCTGATGTATCGTGAGGAATATGGGAGTCGCAAATCTATAATTTCACTTATGACGTCACTGTGACGTCATTTCAAATGGGATCGACACCAAATTTGGACACAACCTCGGCTAGGTATTCAGGAAGATGTGTGCAAAGTTTCGCTTCTCTATCTCTTCGCGTTGCGACGATATCGTCGCAGAAGTAAAGGGGGGGCAACTATATGCCCCCCCCCAGCGGCCGGCGGGTGGCGCGGAGGCCCAGCGGCCGCCGGGTTAATTGATCGCATAGGGGATGTACTTAGTAGAAGCCGGAGCCGGAGCCGCCGGAGCCGGAGCCGCCGGAGCCGGATCATTTTACTCGGAGCCGGAGCCGGAGCCGGAGCCGCCATGACATTTCACCCGGAGCCGGAGCCGGAGCCGGAGCCGATTTTTTTCTCCGGAGCCGGAGCCGGAGTCGGAGCCGTCTGAAATTTCCACGGCTCCGCATCCCTGATTGTAAAGCAACATAATCTTGAAGTTTGTGTGCATCTCATCTGATCTAGCTCAGTGAGAAGAAGATGAGAAGCCATAAGCAAATCAGAAATCTCTATATGTCAGCTCTCCAAAATCAATACATTCAATGGGCAAAAACAATATCATTTTTTTTTTCTTTACACAAGAAAAATTATCAATCTGAACAACCTGTTATGCATTGAGGGGCATTGAGAGCTGATGATGGCGCAATGCCAAAAGCTTTTCAAAATTCAAAAAGTTGTTTTATTTCGAATCCAGAATTTACTTTTAGGTCGAATGAGAGTGATGTTAATTCTCTTACTATATGCAACCAGTTATGCCTTCAACTGATTCCAAACTCAAACTCAAACTACCTCAACGGAGCAGCACATCATCATTGAACGGCCTGACGACAGCTTATTTTTCTACTGAATAAAACAAAATTTGCAATTACAGGATTAGCATTCAGTTGGGCAAACTAGACCTTTGGAATCAAAATATGGAGGCATCAAAAGATTGATTCCTTTTGGGCATAAATGCAGACCATTTATAACTTACCAATCACATAAAAATAAGACATTGTTTCAAGAAGGAGCATGCCTGATCTTGAACAGAAATGCTTGAACTATCTCCTAAGCAAAATAATATTGCTCCTATCATAACAATTTGAATTCTATAGGTAGTGAAAGGCAATCAAGGAATTGATTCACTTTTAACAGATAATCATAATATTGATTCCCCATCAGCTGGCTAATCATTATTTTGATTCACAGGTAATGTTAACAGATAGGCAACAATGACTTGCAAGAATACAGCATTTATCTTGCTATTATTCTCATTTAGTGGTATCCTCAGCACCACAACTGATACCTATAGCATTGTTGTACTTTACCTTCACTACATTTGATAACAATTCACAATTTTTAAATGTCAAAAATACAAAAACTGAAGCAACAGGTAAAAACCATATAAATAATATAAAAGCACTACAACAATGATAATTAGGGGTTTAAAAATTTCATTTTGCCATTTTACACAAATACTGATTGGTTAGTATGTGATTCATGATACAAAAATAACATACAGTGTGATTTCCTCAAAACAGCTTTTACGTGATGGACAGTGGCTCTGTCTTTTTCCCATTCACAAGGCCAAAGGGACAATTTCTTAGCTTTGAGGTAACACTTTTTGCAATCCTACCACATTTTTCTACCTTTTAAAAGAAAAATCTCACCGTCATGGGCCTTTTTTCAACCGTAACGATTCATTTGAAGTCAAAAGTGTACCCAAATGAATCAAAAAATTGATTCCATGCCCATATTTGGTCATGGCTCCTCCCACCAGAATCAAATTATTGATGCCTCCATATTTTGATTCCAAAAGTCTAGTTTGCCCAACTGCATTGGAGACCAAAACCAAAAATAGGCCGACAAATATACCCAAATTGAAATAAAAAATTATGAATACCGCCTGTAACTGGACTATCAGTCCGCTCTGGTAACTCCAAGTCAATAAATTAGTAGCTCAAAATTGCGTTGAAAACGAAACAGCTGCGCAGGAGTTGAGAATTTAAATAGATGTTTTATCATAAATTATTAACTCGATAGTTGTTACAGAAAAAATACTTTTTCGCGAACAAAAATTACAAATGAATAAAAAAAGCTTTTAGTTATTTTGATTATCTTACAAAAAACATAATTAGCACTAAAATGAACAAGCATGTTTTGGCATAAACGACACCGCCGCCATCTTTCTGCGTCGGAAGCGTCGTTCTTTCGTCGGAGAATTGACGGCACGTGGGCGAGAGCTGCGTAGTTGTGTCCGATTCAGATTATTTCATGAGGGTGAGCTGAGTCATTATGACAAGATTTTGTGTATGAAATTGTTTTTCTCTGTCTCTCTTGAGTTCCTTTTTGCGGTTTTCCTAAAAAGGCAACGGAGACTGCGACGTTGCATTTAAAGGAAATAGTTCACTTTTAACATGGGGTTTGGAACTGGAATAGCAGTTTTGTTGCTTGCGCTGAGACTAGCACAAATCAGAAGCTTTTACGGCCCAACGATCACCCTAGACGAAGATATTCCATTTTTCGTTCCGAAAAGAGTGCCTTGCAGAGGAATGCGTGCCTTGCTGAGGAATGCAGTCACGTCATCGTCAGCCAATCAGAATGCTGCTTACAGCCGATGGGTTTGTCCTACGCAATATGATTGGTCAACGCGTAATAAGCTTCCGCGTCAAACATTATTTTATATAGAATATAGTTCTTCTTATACTAAAATATAGAAAATAATCCTTTTTACAAAAACGTTTTGTTTTATTTTCTGATCATTTTGAGCATAAAAAAACACAAATCCATAGCAAAATACCAATTTCAGGAAAGTGAACTATTTCCTTTAACTAAAATAATTTGTTTTACCACGTGTTTCGATTTGCACGTGGTCTGTATTTTTGAAGCGTTTACCATTAAGTTAATGCGTTTATTCCTGAATATTATTATTATTACCGTCGTATATTACCGTATATTATTAGCGTATATTACCGTCGTCGATTGGAGATGAACCATCAGTCATTTACGATTGGTGCAACCAAACCACAAACCATACAATTTGAATTAGAGGCTAACACTTATGCATGTGGGGACAGATGGGCATTGTCTCAGCCATATGGCTTCTATGTAATAGGGTACATCAACATTTTGACCTGGCTGTTGAGAGTGATACTTTGCATGGTAAGTCATTCTCAAGAGTTCGGCAATTTTCAACTGGCCCAGTTTGACAGAGGAGCTAATGTAATACTGATGCCGATCCGGAAGGATCAATGTCTAGCAGTTCAAAATAGACATCTGGAAAGTTGTATGTTATAAACAGTTTGCTATTGTAGTTCTTAGCTATTAAGAGATGATAAAATAATATCTTTTTTTCTCTGTTTTTGCAATTGACAAACTCCTTTTACCTAGGAATAGAAAAATTATGCAACCATCATGTGGTATTTACAGTGCAGTTTTGTACAATTTCCATGTGTTTCTGTGTCTGTACTCTAAATTTGTTATTTGATCATTTGTGATCTGCTTTACAAGTAATTTATTTTATGATATTTGCTTTGCTCATTTGTCTAGCCTGTTTGTCAGAATTGGGTATTGTATTAGGTACTTTGATCTAAATGCATGCTGTATTTTATTGATGTTAAGTAAAATGTTCATGCCTGCCTGTGTTGTCCTGGGCAATTATGGTCTATAATAAAATAAAATAATTGATTGAAGTTTTATGTTTTTCAGGTCCAAATGTATGATTTCAAGTGAACCCACTTTTCATCATGAAGGACTCAAAACTGGAAGGTGTTCTTCAGGTTTCAGAAGATGCTCCCATGGTTGTTACAACTGACAATGGGGAGGTGAGCAATTACTGATTTTCTGCATGCAGGCCAGATCTTTGCTATGAAAAGCCAGTTTAATGATATTTTCCAATAATGTGATGATCATGATCATGGTAATGATCATCATGATCATGGTAATGATCATCATGATCATTACCTCATGATCATGGTAATAATCATGATCATTACTTGACGATCGCCCAGAGATTTTCTATCGGCTACAGGTCAGGGCTATTCCCTGGTAATTTGTCCTTCTCCTCTCCCAAAATGCTGGAAAGTAGGTACGATCGACATTGATCGTGCGTCGTTCTAGCTCGATGAGCCGGGGCGCCGTCCGATGGCTCTGGACATGTTATTGCAGTTATTGTTATCACAGAAAAACTGTTTCTGAAAAATGGTGTTTTTGGCAGTTTTTGCCCCCTGCAGGCAAAACCGTTGACGTAAGGTCAAATCTGAGAGTTTCTCAGAAAGGGCGTTACTAGGGCTATCGAAAGCGCGTTTCTGCAGCTCTGTAGCTCTATTGGTTCCCGAGTAATGCGTTGGCTTCTTAGAAATTGTTGACATTCGACCTGATAATCGGCGTAATTTAGCCTTCAATGACCTCTGGGCCTCGTTTCATAAAAGGAATTACTTACGGCGTTCCGTCAATTATGCCAGATTTGGCGTATTTGATGCCAATTCGGTTTCATAAAGCCGGATACCGGAGTAATTCACGCCATCGAAAGTACGGAGCTTCGTTTACGGCAAATGCTCGATTCCGGACCAATTGATGCCATTTGGGTTTCACAAAACGACGTAATTAAGCCAAATATTTTTTCAAGCTCTTGATATCAGTGGTGTAAACTACGCACAAAAATGTTGCGTGATTTTGAATTAATGTGAAGATTCGAAGCTAATTTTTAATATATTTTATAATGTTGAGCCCGGTGAGGAAGAAAGAACAGCCAAAAGGAGAAAAAGAAACTGCAAATCCTCTGTACCAGTCGCTTTTTGTGGCCACTATCGGAATTTTGTTTATTCGCCGCGCCGCGCCACTTTCGTAGTTAGGCACTTCTGCTTATCTGGCTTTCTGCTGTTTTTAATATATTGTTTTAATAAAGGATGGTCATCAATATCAATTTTGTTTTTTCATAAATAATTTTTAAGATTTAAATTCAACATAATTGTTTTATAATTTCTCGTAAAAAATAAGTGTTGACATGAAATTGTAATTTGTAGGCCGCTTGATAAATTACGGTAACTACGCAAATGTGCTTAGTTACGGAGGTGTAAACAATTCCAGTTGTGGCTTTGTGAAACGGCTTTATTTGCGCTCCGTAGTTTGAAAGGGTGTGAACTACGGAAAGGTGTAAGTTACGGCAGAGCTTTATGAAACGAGGCCCTGGTGACCTGTCCTTTGACCTGACCAAAAAAGTTACCAGAGTGATGTCGTCATTATTTTTGGCGCTCTTTCGGACGCCGCCTTCCGCGTATCGCTACGCTTGGCCGAGGAGCCGAGTTAGAAAGGGGAAGTGTTCACAACACTCCCCCCCCCCCACCCCCACCCCAGCAGGGCGTGGAAATCCAGGACCCTCACTGGGGTGCGGGTTAACCTTCGCATGTGTGGGAGGGTGGTAGAGTCGGATGGACCTCCTCGGTTTTTCGCGAATAACTCGTGCAAAAGCGGACGATCGCGATGAAACTTTCAGTATCCTCGAGTTTATCAATTTTACACCTACTCAGAAAATTCCATGACCCTAACCCAAATGACCCTTGACCTGTGATGTGACCTATTTCTCGAGACCATGTTCGGCCGAAATCGCGATTCAGCGTATGTCAGCTCACATTATCCGCTCGTTGTCAGTCTTTTTGTGATTGTAAATGTCCAAACATGTGAAATGCTGCTCGTCCCTTGCATTACGTGTCAAGATCACGTGATGGTCAGGTCAAGGTCATTGACCTTTGATGACCTTCGATCACTTTTTCGAGTTTTGCATGTTTTCTTGGGTAATGTTTGGGGCTGATTTCGAATTTAGCACCCATTTGAACAAGTACGAAGTAATTTTAAGTGCCTTCGTAACATGTTACGCGCCGTCAGTGGTAAGTAGTCACCTACTAGTTGGATAGTAGTTTGATAGCCGGTATGACGCCTACTGGTTGACCTGACCTGACCCGACCTGGCCTAAATGCATGAAGACAACATCTGTTATCAAATTAACGTGGAATATATGATCAGCACCCCGAAAAACCCATAACCGCTCCACTTTTCAAAGTTCTAGCAGGTCCCGATTTTCCCGATTTTTGGGTCTTTGACCTGACCTGGAAGGTCAACCAATGACCTGGGACCTTAAAATTGGCTATCATCGGCCTCCTCTCGTCACGGGCAACACACTCGTTTTTTGCGCGAAGTTTTACTTTGATCGGGGACCGAACGGCAGGGGGTCCAACCGACCCCCCTCCCTACACGTTAGACGCTGGCAAACGCCGTACGCATGCAAGGCTTAAATTCATAATACTCTAAGAAGTCTCCCGATGTCACCAGAAGTCAGTGACCCTGACCTTTAGGTAACATTGACACCTTTCATAATGCATGACAGAAACATAATTTCACGTGTTGGCATGTTTCTTATCACCAAAAGTCTGGAAACACACGGATAATGTGCGCTGACCTACGCCGAATCGCGATTACGGCCATTGTTTTGGGAAACACGTCACAGTCTAAAGGTCATTTCAGTTAGGGTCATGGAATTTTCAAGGCATGTATACAATAATTAATGATAGAATGATAAAAATAAACTCGATGATACTGAAGGTTTCGTGGCGATCGGCCGCTTTGTTTGCGTGTTATTCGCGAAAAAGTAAGGGGATCACTCTGACCCCATCCCCCTATAAGAGTTGATTTTCAGACTTGCTGAGTGCATTCTTTTGTAGGCGGACACAGTCTCAACACTTGCAAATCCTGCAGTGTTGTTACACTCGGTAGTTCAGCATCCCACCAGCGTTTATAGACATCATTCAGTTGAACTAGGAATTAACCACGTCATCACTCCACCAAATCGCCGCAAAATAACAGCCGTAGGTGACGCAGTCTCAAACCTCAACAACCAGAATACCACCCTCCAGGGCATTCCCTGCTGTTCTGTCACTCTCCGCCCGCGCCGTCTGACGCCGCGCCGCCCCGCTGTGCCGCAGCTGCTCCTGCTGGCCGGGGACGGATCGGGCGCCGAGCTGGCCGGAGACGGTGCCGAGATCGTGGTGGTCGAGACGGACGACGGCCAGCAGCAGATCCAGCTGGTGACCGAGGACGGCGGACGCGTGCTGGCGCTGCCGCCCGAGCTGGCCAGCCGGCTCAAGGAGAGCCTCTCCGACCTGGTGACCGAGTCCAGCGGCCTGCAGCAGCTGACTGCCGGCGCAGAGGACCGGGGTGAGGAGGGGGAACCGGAGGAGGAGGATGAACAGTCGCAGGAAGAGGTGGAAGAAGAGATGGAGGAGGTGATAGAGGAAGCTGCCGAGGTGCCGGAGGAGGGTGTGGAAGTGGAGGACGGAGCGATCGAGCTGCCCGAGGGAGCAGTGGTGCTGTCTGACGGAGCTGTCGAGCTACCGGAGGGGGCCGTGGTGTTGCCGGAGGGAGCTGTGGTGTTGGAGGCTGGGGGCGTGGAAGTGGCTGAAGAAGGCGCTGAGCTGCCGGAGGGGGCTGTCGTGCTGTCCGATGGAACCGTGGAGCTCCCCGAAGGAGCTGTGGTTCTTGAGACGGCTGATGAGCTGCCAGAGGGCTCTGTGGAACTCCAAAGCGGAGAGGAAGGAGCCGATGGGCCGAATGAGCAGGAAGAGATCACATTGCCTGATAAGGTAGAGGAGGCTAGCTCTGGCGATGAAGGTGAAGCAAAAGAGACGGCAGTTGATGAAAACGGGTCAGCGTCTGCTGGAGAGGACACGGCAAATGATGAGCAAAGGGAAGATGATGGCAGTGGCAGAGATGTTGACTTTATGAAGGTGGAGGAACAGTCGGTGACCTCGGGCGATGAACACGTTGAGGAAGAGCATGTCAAAGAGGATGTTGGAGAGTTCCTCGGGGATCTTGGTTTCGCCGGGAGACCGAAGATGGAAGAATCGTCCATACACAGTGCGGAGGAGACAAATGATGCTGATCCTGAATGGACGGAGTCTACTGTCACCAGTGCATCAGGTAAGTTTTCATCTAGTTTATCACGTTTAATTACCCTTTTAGGTCATTAATGATTACGCTGAGGTAGAAACAAGTTGAAATTTTAGCTTTTGATTATATTGTCATTATTTTGAATAGCAATTTAAAATATTATTTTTATTTTGTGCTGTGTTTATTCGTAAACACTAGACATTTAAAGTTAATTTCGGTCTCGCCAGGTGCGCAGGTGACGATCCGTTTGCCGACGGTGGCGGTGCTGGATGCGGCGTCCACTGCGTCCAGCTGTGACGGTGACGCGGCACCCGAGCAGCCCGGTCCCTCGATCCGCCTCATCCGTTTGTCGGAGAATGGGCTCACTGAGGTGCCGGCGCAGACCCCCACCGCGGCGGAGAGGAGAGAGAGGTCGCGCGCCGAGGAGGAGGCCTGGGCGGTGCGCACACGGCGCCGCGCCTCGCGCGGCATTGCACGCGCCGTGGCCGCCGTCCGACGCGCCGAGGACAGTGACAGCTTCGAGAGCGAGGAGGAGGAAGAACCTCCGCCGCCGCCGCCCGTGGATAAAACGAAACGCGGCAGGGGCCGGCCGCGCAAGGCCGGCGGGTTCTCGTGTCAGCTGTGCCCGCGGCGGCTGCAGACTCAGCCGGAATTCTTCCAACACCTGCGCGATCACTATGAGAAGCCGGACGGCGAGGGGGCGGAGGGTGTATCTGCTGAAGGTGAAGGTGCTACTGAGGAGAGCTCAGAGCAGCTGGAACCGATCGCAGAGGAATCCGAGCACGATGGTGCCGGCGAGCGGCCCGCGGTCATAAACGTGGACATCATCGCGGCTGAGAGCGGCGCGTTTGAGTGTGACGATTGCGACATGATATTCTATTCCGAGGACGAGCTGGAGAAACACAAAAAGACGCATATCGAGGTTATGCCCACGCAACTGGAGGCGGACGAATCTGAGCTGATGGAACAGGGCGGCGAGGAGGGTGCCGTCTCGGCGGGCGAGGAGCACGCGGAACCCGTACCCGAGTCGACTCAGTCGGACGGCGATGGAAAATCGCCAGTTGTCGAGTTCGACCCGGCCGCCGCCGAGCAGTACGAAATGAAGAACCTGAAGAAGTGTAACAGCTGCCCTAAGGTATTCACCACGCTGGCATCACTGCGAAACCACCGGCTGCGCATGCACAACGATGGCGAGCCCGTGTCGGTCACCAACGCTGCCAAACACGAGTACGAGTGTGCGGAATGTCACGTGACCTACACGTCGTACAAAATTCACCTGCGTCACATGCGGCTTCACGAGGACAAGGCGGCGGGCCGGCTGTCGCACCGGTGCTCGACGTGTGGCGCCTCGTTCCTCACGGGTACGCTGTTGTCGCACCACGTGCAGAGGGAGCACCCGGAGCGGTGCCGGCGGCCAGCGGCCAGCAGACCGGCCGGCGTGCAGCCGCGGCCCAACGGCCGGCCGCCCGGCTCGGCCAACAAGGCGCGCCAGGCCGTCTATGACCAGATTCAGGAGACCGAGCACGGCACGTTCCGCTGCATGATCTGCTCAATCGAGAGGAAGAGCAAGAACCAGATGTTTTATCACATCAGCATGAAACACAAAGGTGAGTGCAGCCTTCTGCCAACTTGTTCAGTGGTCATAATGAAAAGTAAATTTAGGAATATAAATCATTTAACAGTTGAATTTTAGTTGTAGTGTTTCATGGAATTTTGCATATACATAACGTTCCGTGCTACATGTTTTCTTTTTTTCTTTTGGGCATTTTTTGCGGAGAACCTATTCCCCGAGACCCTTTTGACATTGTTGCCCCCGCGTAATGCGGTCTTTGTGTTCAATGTTTTTCGTTGTCACTGCTCTGCAGCGTTGGATGGCCACAAGTGTGAGACGTGTGGCAAGGCGTTCTTCACTGATACGGCACGCAGGGTGCACGAGCGGACTCACACCGGCGAGCGGCCGTACGGCTGCGATTTCTGCGCGCGCCGGTTCCGCCAGCAGGCAGATCTCAACGCGCATGTCATGTCGATACACACGCAGGAAAGGTCAGTGCTGCTGTGACACGTCAGATGCTCCAATCCATTCCATTCATCAGTCTGGATATTGTGGGCGCTGAGTCACGGCTGTGTGGCCTATGCGTCCGACCCGTTCAAGATCCCTGATTGCTGTTCATGTTATTACATGTCCATGCGACCGCAACTTAGTGTTACTCTCAACTTTTGTGTACATCTAATACATCTTAAGCATCAAACGTACTGTCAATCTGTGTGCCTGCACATTTTTCGGTTCCATTCATTCTTTTTTGATTGCTTGAAGCTGACCAGGAATTGGCTATTTTTTTCGTCGATCGATCATGAATGTTGTGTGCAGAGATATCGCGTCGCCTGATTTTATCCGTTTCTCCGTGTTCTCCGTTTTTGATGACAGTGTTGTGTACTTTCCAGGCCGTACCGATGCCGCTTCTGTAGCAAGTCGTTCTCCCGCAAGTACTCGCTGACGGTCCATATGCGCTGTCACACCAACGAGCGCAACTACAAGTGTCACATCTGCAACAAGGGCTTCCGGGCGTCCACCTATCTGACGGGTCACATGAAAATACACTCTGGTGAGCCCAGCGGCCGTGCGGCGTGCGGGAACCGGGTGGGCAGCAATACCAGAAGATGATAGAAGGGAGATGGGGATTACGGTTTACGAGTTAGATCCTAGCAGGGTGTGTTTGCGATGCGCGACTGCGATGGGTATGGGGTGTCTGTCGTGTATGGTAATAATGTATCGTGATAATCGTTGGAATCGCTATGAGTAACGCTGTTGCATATACCCAGGGCGTGTTGGCCATCAGGAAACCGATCTCACAAAGTACAACAGTAGCATTTTCCGTAGAGTACAACTGCAGGCAGCCATTTCTCACACCGACCTAGTCCACTGCCACCCTACCGAACTTGGATAACGGATTTTCAGCCCCCACCCCCACCCCTGACCTCCGAGTCGCTTGTGTAGCCTACCCCTCCCCGTACCCGCCAGTTTAGTCCACCCATCCCACACCGCCTGGTCTGACTGACGTCCTGTACCGCTCTCTGCAGGTGAAAGGTCGCATGCCTGCCCGATCTGCTACAAAACGTTCCGGATGCGTTCGGACATGAAGCGGCACATCTTCACGCACTCTCGGGAGCGGCCGCAGCCGCGCTCTCTTCGCTCGCTGAATGTGGAGATGGCTGGCAATGAGGAGGGCGGGGTGGTGCTGCTCGATCCCTCCCAGCTCTGCCTCCAGGTGAGGAGCTGCCACCAGGGGTTGAGTTTACAGGGGCCCTTGCGGTAGTAAAAAAGCAATTTGGTGTATACTTCTATGCGTACACAAAAGATATTGTGTAATCAATAGATTTAAGTGAGTAACTTTCATACCATCGCGATCTCGCGTTAATTACCTTTTATCGATGACAACGACGTATTTGCACTCGGGATTGACTGGCACCTTTATTACTGTTGTATCATACATCTCTTTCTTCCAGTACCCGTGCTGGTATTTGTTTTGGTGTCCCCTTTTATTAGTCGTTTCGGTGGTTGTTTGATGTCGCGTCTGACTATCCCCCGTTCCGGTGCAGCTGGTGTCTCAGGCGGATGGTGACGCGATGGTGATCACTGAGGGTAACCAGACGATGGTGCTGGACGGCTCGCAGACGGTTATTGACGAACGGACCGGGCAGCTCATGGTGAGTGAAATCTGCCAGTCTGCTGCGCAGACGTCAGGGGGCGCTGATCGAGGCGGGGGACGGGCGGGCAGGGTAGATGGAGGGCCGCGGCAGTTCGGCGCCGGAAATGGCGCCGAATGGAGTCCACTGAGCGACTGATGGGTGTCAAATAGTGTCCTCGGAGTGTTTCTAATGAATTTTAGTAGTTTGATGGTCCACGTCTAGGGAGGATTCGTTATTGATAGCCATGTGTCTGCGAAGTTTCGTCATTATCCTGAATTAAGTTCGTGACTAAGATTGCGTTTTAACGCCCTTGGCCTCGATTATCGCACGCTGGGGACCATCAGTCTCAGAACTGCAATCTTTGACACGTAAACCAGGTGCTTCGACAGACTACTCTTGTCAAACTTCAGACTTCACAGTGATCATAGCTGAATGTCGTGCCAGCGTAGCATCAGTGAATATTCGCCTTGATTGCTTGAAGCGCCCATCGGCCATCACCTGTTGCCCTTCAATCTAGTTCCGTCAAATTTGCTACTTTTTCTTTTCATTCCGAGTTCCTTTCTCATCGGTGCCCATCTTTAAATCTGCTTCGCCTATCTTGGCCAGCTGCTGCCTCGGTCCAGTGCTCCCCAGTCTGATTCGCCCCAGATAGTCCTAATAAACTCCTAGTGTCCTCCCCACCCCGGTCATGTGTGGCTGGCGAGACCCTGGGCCATATCCTCTGTCATTTTCTGATCGAACCCTCCATCCCCACCTCCCGCCCCTCTCTCTAATCGTCTCCCCGGCTCTCCCCAGGTCCCCGAGTCGGCCATCTCGGAGCTGGACGAGACGGCGATGGCCTCCATGTACCTGCTGGCCGACAGCCAGTCTGAAGCCATGGAGCTCACATAGCGCCTCCGGTAGCCCCGGCCCGGGTCCCGGCATCAGCTGCTAGTCCTTCACCGTCATCAATTGAGGCGACACGGCGCGGTGAGCCCTCCGCCGCCACTGCCGTCGCTACTGCCGCTGCTGCTGCTGCTGTTGTTGCTGTTGCTGCATGTTGAGCTGTTATTTATGAGGGACATATTTTTACGAATACATGATTATGGAATGCCAAAGCTGTTTTGTGTCACTGGGGCATGCTCATTGGGTGGGAGAAACTAATGATTGAAAAATACGGTCGTTTCACGCCAGCCACATAAAAGAAATAGACAGAGGCATCTGGATTATCAATGCTGATTGCTGTTCCAAGGTAATTACTGGCAATTCCTCATCACGAACACGCTCATTACACAGAAAATCACCGCTCGACTTCCACTAATCGAGCGAAAAACAGCCAAATTCGCCGTCCTTGTGTCCACGGTGTCTGTTGACCGACTGTGGTATTATCTCCCCCTAACCCTTCCGGGGGCCGTCTGGGCCGTCAGTCGCGGGTATAATGATCTGTCGGTGACCCTGATCAGCGGCACGGTCACGTCACGCTGGGCGTCATTGATTGACCCGGTCACGGAGGAGCGGTGCCGGCCGACACCGTTGCTAGGCAACCGGTGTCAACAGACTGCCGGGGTAGTACGGGACCGGGGCGGCAGAGCGCGCTCGGCCGTGGGACGGAGCGGTAGGCTGGGTCAGTGAGGAGGGACTGACCTGGTGGTACAGCAGACTGTCGCCATGTCCCGCCGGGAGGCTGACCTGGCAGAGTTTGAGAGGCTCACTGCCGACCTGGACAAAGAGCTGCAGTACTGGTGAGACAGCTGGGAGGGGGTAGGTCAGGGTCAGAGGTCGGTACTGAGGAGGGGGAGGGCGCGGGGTCAGGGTCAGAGGTCCTTACTGGAGGGCGGTAGTGGGGAATCGTCGAAATCAGGTGGTGGATATTCGTTGCACTTATTGAGGTAAATGGCCCAGGGTCAAGGGCGTTACGTAAATGTCGGTGTTTGCTGCCTTTGATGCATCGATAATGACATCAGCCATTATTTGATCATCAGCCATTCGACTCAATATTTCCTCGATACCTGTTGTCTTTTTTACGCCAATAAATTTTGTCGGTGGATTATGCTGTCGTATGTTCGTCCCCGCCAGTGACATCTACTTCCACTACCCTGCCACCAGCGTGTCTCACATGTTCTGCCCTACCTTCAGTGAGACGCTGGACTGGTCCAACGTCAGTCTGGAGGCCACGGTGGAATCGCTCAAAGACCAGCTGCACGCGCTGGAGCGGAACCAGCACCCCGCCGATGACGGTGAGCACCTCTGCTCCAGAGTCAAACAGAGTCAACAACCCGAGCCTCCAGAGTTACCAGATGAACCGATGACGTTTTGAACAGGAACGCCTGAGTTGTAAAGGGATTTATCTTCAGAACGAGAGAGTAAAGATATCGAGAAACGGCTGCTGAGTTCTACTGAATCAGCCTTACGTTAACGTTTAATTTAGACTGATGTTTGTTTAGCGGCCAAGTTTCCAATGTTCATGCATGAAAGATGATTTGCTCACCTTTTCTCCAATCTGAGGCACGCCTTCACTCATTCGTACTCTAACCAACCCACCTACCCCCCCCCCCCCCACCGTTTGCCTTTCAGACGCGCTGGAATGGAAGACCCGCTACGAGAGTCAGGTGGCGCTCAACGCTGACCTGGACCAGCAGAAACAGGCGTTGTCGCAGCAGCAAGCCTCCCTGCGCAACAACATCAAAGAAGGTCAACAGGGCGACGGTCGGTGACTCGGGGGGCGGGGCGTGACCCTTGTGTGACCCGCGTGGCCCGAGGGCATTACGCACGCACCGAGCCCCCACCCGGCTGGCGCCGCCGCTGGCGGGTCGGTCGCCGGTGGGATGTAGATTTTTGGAGCGGTCTCGAGCCGCCACAAACGGTAGGTGCGGTTTTTGACGCGCTCTTTGCGTGTTTTTGACCTTTGGAAGTGACCCGCACACATTTGACGACATTCACCAGGATAGTGCGAGGATGCGGGCTGCGGTTTTCTCACAACCTTGCATCAATGACCCTGATATGTACATAGCTCTTTGGTCACGCACAGAGGTATTGGCAGGCCTCTGATGGATGGTTGACCTTAATCCATTCGTAAGACTGTTTGCACAACCATACACTGATTACACATTTCGTGATACAGCGTTTGCTTTGCTGTGTAAGCATGACACCGTTTCCAGGAAGGCTCCTGGCAAAGGCATGCCATCATCACTTCATTGCATGACTGCTGAAAAAGACATGTTTTAAGACCTTGATTTCACGGTAACAACTTGCATTGTAGTGGAATCAGCTTTGATGTATTTTGATTATTTCTCGTCTAGTAATGAGTTGTTTCCTACACGTTCTGAGCTGCTGAATATGTCGCGTAATTTTCGTTGAATGGCAAACAAGCTTCGGGGTTCCAGCCGTGCGGTACTAGCAAACTTCAGTTCAGCTGATCCGCATTTAACAACCTGCCCCGAGCAATGCGTGCTTTGGAGCTTACCACGCATGCGACTGTGCGAAATCCTTGGCAGCGGCCCGCTGACTTCGGCCTCGTTTCCAGTGTACAAGATCGACATGATGTTTCCCGAGTACGAGAAGTATACGGAGACGGAGCTAATTAAGCTACTGAAGCAGCTGGAGAGGCAGAAGCAGGACCTGATCTCGCAGCTGAAGAACGTTCAGTACCAGACCGACAAGGAGTCCAAGGTCAGTGCCGGCCGCCGGGTACAGCAGATTCATATTCATAGACGGGTACGACAGAATCTTGGGTACGACCACCGCATCAGGTTCGGGGCATGGTGTGGTGGCACAAAAGCTTCGCCGATGATGACTTTTCGCATTAGCTAGAAAAATCGTGCTGACAATAGTCATTACGGAGCGAGCGAAGCGAGCGTAGTCTTTCCTTAGATTAACGGAAATTTCTGAGTATGAGCGGCCGGCCGGCCGGCCGGCCGGCCGGCCGTGGTCACGCTTTTGCGAGGCTTATATCTCAGCAACCACTTGACCGATTTACATGCGGTAATTTTTGTAGGGTAGCCTCATTCCTTCTACCAAGTATTGGACTATTCCCGATGTATGTGAGTGACCCCTTATGCACGTGCCACGTGCAAAACGAAGAGGTGTCACTTTTGTAATAGTTGCAATATCTCGGTAACTACTGGGCCGATTGCGCTGAAAGTTGGCATGTAGGTAGGCACCCACTAGGCAATGCATATCCATGTGCCAGAGTTGGGGTGCTGCTGCACGTGCGCACGTGCAGGGGTCGATTCCAGATCTCGAGAACGGCTGGACCGATTGCGCTCAAATTTGGTACACGGTTACGGAGCAGTTAGTGGGGTGCCGTGCACAAGTCAGTTGGGACCCATTTTGCACGTGCGCACGTGCAGGGTGCCGCTTCCAGATCTCGAGAACGGGTGGGCCGATTGTGCTTAAATTTGGCACATCGCTAGAGACCGGTTAGTAGGGTGCCGTGCACAAGTCAGTTGGAGGTACCCCCTCGCAATTTCGCACGTGCAAGGTCCACCCTCTCGCTCGCTCCGTTAGTCGCCCCAAAAGGCGTTATACTGGTGATAGTGCGATTGAATTAGTAATGGATGGACGAAAAGAACGAAAGATCGAACGAACGAATGAATGAACGATGTATCTTCACTTTTTGCAAAACATCACGCTCACCACGCCCTCAACAGACAGGCAACCATATTCGCCTCGTATCACTACAATGAACTGCAATTAATGCATGCCGTGTCCCCCAAAACCGAAAGTTTGGAGGCTTGCCGGACCCACCAAATTAGCTTACATACGTTGACCTGCTCAACCATTTCCTTTCTACCATCCAAGTAACTTATGAGACCGAATTATGTTGGTATATTCCTATCCCACGCCACACATATTTCACACGAGTTTAATTACCCTAACCCGACAGGATTTCCACCATTACGACGAGCTGCGTCGGACGTACCGGGCCGACATCGGTATCACCAACCGAGACCTGGAGCACCTGCGGAGCGTCCGCCGTCTGGTGGAGAAGGACGCGCCCGTCTCACCCATCACATCGCCGGGGACGCTGCGATGGAAGTGAGATACGGGACTGGGGTGGATGGTTGGTGGGGAAGCGGTGGGGTATGCTACGGGTGGGGACGCTAGTAGCTGGGAATGACAATTTGGGGGATGGAGGTGGAGCAGTCGACTTGGGTATCGTTTGACCGAGAGGGCCAGTAACGGCGGAACACCTGCAATTACGGGGGGGGGGGGGGAGCACTGCCGACTTTTGGTCCCATTCTTTCCATGCAACGCCCATAGCGCTAATGTTAAAATGCCAAAATCAAGGCGGGGCACGTTGCCCCCCCCCCCCGTTCCGACGCCTATGGAGAGGGCCTAACTACAACAAAGCAAAGAAGCAAACAAGGCTGTCAAGGGTCAACTGTCTTCTGGGGCCACAAGTCTGTGGTGTTAAGGCCTGGCTACACTATGCGTTTTCTGCGTGCGTTTTTTGCGGGGTTGCGTGTTTTGCATATTATCGTTCTAGAAAAAATTATAAGTAATATAAGTTATTTTACATTGGTTATATACAAAATTTAATATAGCTCTTATGTAAACTAAAATTTAAGGTAAAAAACATCACAAAAACGTAATATCGCTCTTTTTTCTAGAACGATATCACGCAAAACACGCAAACCCGCAAAAACGCACGCAGAAAACGCATAGTGTAGTCAGGCCTTTACACTTTATGAATCGTGTACGTGGCATTTTTAAGGTGGACCAGGCTGTTTCCATGGGGCTCAATCGGAAACAAACGGGGTACGCTGAATTTCAAACCGGTTAATGACGCACTATCACTGGTAAACGCAAGCTGATTAAACCAGGGTTTAATTATGGCCCACTGTTCCCAAAGAATGACTCACCACATGTCGCGGCACCCGAAAGCACTCACCACCCCGTTAATGTTCCAGCAACAAGGACGGCATTACGTCCAACCAGCGCATTCTGGACCCGAAGCGGGGCCCGGTGAACCGTACCGCGGGAGTGCGGTCGCTGCCCCGTGTCGAGGACCGCCCCGCCCGCGAGGGCCCGCCACGGCAGCAGGGAGGCTCGGCCAGCCAGAGTGACAGCCCGGCGGCCGAAAAACGCAGCGGCAGGGCCAGAAATCTGCCCAAAATGGAGACAACCGCCGCCTCAGAGAAAAAGGCGCCGCCCAAGGAGAAACCGAATGGGAGTAAACCGAACGGGAGTAAGCCGAGCGTGAGTAAGCCGAGTGGGAGTAAACCGAGTGGGAGTAAGCCGAGCGGGAGTAAGCCGAGTGGGAGTAAGCCTAGTGAGAGTAAACCGGCGGGGAAGAAATAAAGCCGGTTTGGGAGGACGGGGTGGGGCGGAACCGTGGTATCTGTAACCTTACCAATTGTGCAACAGAGAACGGTGTTTGATAGTTTTGGCAAATGAGAACGTTGATTGAATGATGTGAGTGAAAGATGCGTTGTTAATGCCTATCGAATCGAACTTTCTATGTGACCTGGTACTGCGTACCGGTACGGACGATAGCAATATTGTCACTCAGCGATAGCCGCTTTGAAGGTAGCTTTTTATCGATTTACTGTTGGACTGTAGCGTACAAACGCTCCATTGGAGCACGGAGGTCCGACCAAGATTCTTGTTCCGACGGCTATTCACGTAAACAAAACTCAATCGTCGACTGCATCGAATCTTCGATGAGCGGCTTGCAATCGAGCGTATGTCGTATGTGTATGTGTCCGTATTCGTAAACAGGTGCAATGCTATAGTGTCTTGCGAGTTAATCAAATAGAAGAATACATGCGTGATTATTTTGATTTTGGGAAATACATCGTCATAGTAACGGGTTGGCGGGCTGGCGGAAGGATAAGTTGATTATCGATGACAGATTGGAGAATGATGTAAATAATAAACCAATGTCACAGTGATCAAGACTGTTGAAGCCGAAAGCTTCGTGTGTTTTGAATATATTTGATTTGTAGAACTGGTTATTTACATTACATCAATATCCATAAAAATGTGGAGAACGAAACAATTAACAAAGTAAACATGTCGGTTCTTCCACCTTTTCACGAAAGGTGGTCGATAAATACCTACATGTAAATGCAGTAGAATGAGAAGTCCGAGTCAGAGAGCCCTGAAGCTACCGTCTAACCGGCCAGGGACCAGGTACTTACCTAACTTCCCCAGGCCCCAGCAACCACCAGGCGGAGTCGACCCAACTCGTTTTTTTCTGATCGTCACAACGGATATCGTGATAATTACGGTATGCGTTGCGTAATTACGACGCATTTATGCTACATTATACTGCTGTGGTATCCGGATAATTAAAAAGGGTTATATGCTCTATCAGCAGCGGCGGAACACCGGCGGCCCAGGGGGGGGGGGGGGGGGCGCTGCCGACTTTTGGTCCCATTCTTTCCATGCAACGCCCTTAAAAATAAATGCCAAAATCAAAGAAGGGCACGGTGCCCCGGTGCCCTCCCCGTTCCGCCGCCTATGTTTATTGTTTACGAGCGCGTCGGGACACGCTGTGTAGACACACATTTTCTTATAACACCCGTCCCGCCGTATCAGTTGTCATAGAGTCGTAGAGTCGTGGGTGTGACAATTCACGAAAAGCGGAAATAGTTGAGGCAAGATTGGCGTAAAGCCTTGACCCTAGTCGACACGCCCAGGCCAGTATTTGGCCCGTGGCCGATCATTGGGCATCTTTATTTACCGTACGAATACGGATGGCCCGGTTACCCTCGGGCGCTGGTCACGTGACTGTTTCGGCGGGCGACTGGACGGTCCGGTCCGGAACATTTACCACTGAAAAAAGTGGACCTCGCGTTCTGGATCGCCCATTGGCTGAGAGTCATGTTACGTCACGAGTTCCTCTCATGCTAAGCACCTGTGCCCTCAACAGGGGAAAGAGAACACCACTTTTGCAGAAATTTTGAGCAAATATTTTTGTTTTACCTTCCATAAAATAAAAATAGATTTCAGCTCTTTCGATCTGATTGCATGAAATGCTTATAATGCCACTATTTATGTCTATTTCACGGTTGTACCCCCTTTGACGTCACTTATGTAATTGCCCTACGTTACATTGAAAACAGTGTTCCTGATTTCAAGACAATTCTTGCGCAGATTAACGGAGTCGCCGCCGTGTGGTACAACTGGCGGATAAATTTATTGACAATTGCCTTTTTTTGCATTTGAGTTGGAGTGTTAGTTGTCTTTTCTGTATGTAACTCAAAACAAAGTGTATCCTTATTAACTGTATGTCTTTATACGGTCCTTATTATGTTTAAAGTACCTCGCCATCGCCAGGCAGCATTTAGCAAGCAAAATGAAATCAAATTATGTTTAAATGCAATATCGTTTTCCATACATGTCCCAGGTCAAGGTGTTGTTACTTGTTAGGCTATGGCCCTTAGATTAGATTTGGTATGCCTATTGGGCGTATAAGGTCCAGTTGTGCTTGATATCTAGTAATTTGAAAATCAATTTATAATGTGTATAAAGTCAAGTGAGCATGCCTCTTGTCTTAACGCTTTCAGTTTGGGAAACTTCGAGGTGCAAATCCAAATATTGATAGAACAATTTGGAGTGGGCGGGGCCATGCCCATAAAAGGAAAAATGGATGGGATTTCGTGCATCCTATCTTTCAAATGAAAAAAAAGACATAAGGAAGTTGTGATACGACACATGGCCTGCACTCACTCAGCGCACAATTAACTGGCAGTCCTAACGATGAACGTTGCGAGTCAGGGTCAACTGGCATTTGGAGGCAATTGCTGATCGTGATCAAAACAGACCCATGCTGCAAAGTATGGCTTGCATGTCGACGAGGCGCACCTGCCAAAGTTCAAAATTCGCACCAACCCTTCAAACAGAGCCAGAAATCCAGGTTCAGGTTCAGGTTCAGGTTATGAGCTAGGAGTAGACAATGTCTGTTTGGTGCTCATCTGCACCAAAATAGGCTGAGATTAAAAGAAAAAAATCCGCACTTAACCCAAAAATGACTGACTGCTGCACACTCATTTAGACCCGAGAGCGCATTGAATTACATGGAAAAGCTCCAGCAATGTTTTTCAATTGTCCTCATCTATCTCGTCTGGTCTGTCATGTCCATCACCGAGCCAAATCCGCACTGTGATACACTAAATCCGCACCAGCCGAACAAGCCCGCACTGTCGAGATCTCGTCTAAATTGGCAATTGCCATGCTTTGAAGACTGGAAACAGACACTTACTTACTTACTTACTTACGTGACACGCCAGCAAAAGTGAGTAATTTAGGGATGTTAAATTGTTATTATTTGTATTACTTTACCTATTGTCAATTATGACAAAATTATTATTCAAAAGTTGCTGTTTTGTATTTATCGTGTTAAAATTTAATGTTAAAACAATTTTCTTTAATAGCGCCAATCTATTTATGGAATGGCCAGCTGATTGCCTACCAAAGCAGACGACCAGAACCTGCAGAAAAAAATCATTTTTTGATCGACATATTCAAGGGAATTCCCTGGCTTTTGTCAAGTATTCACTCTTAACTCTCATTCTTAATGGTAAATGGAAGCTTTTTCCTCCAGTGGGTGGACCCAATGCCGCAAGTATTGTCCTGTTACCCCGAACGTACCCCGTCATAGCGATAAGCGAGGGCTGCATTTACGCCCATATATGGTCATACAAAATCCTTTATTGATCGATCCATATTTGGATTTCTGCCTCATAAGTTTCCCCAACTGCTTTGAAGTCCACAGAAACAGCTATCTTGACACACACACCATGATCATATACTACCCTGATAGAAATGCAAACACTACACATTGAACTCTTAAAATATCCTAGAACTTCAAGTGGGTGACGTGACCATTCTGTCTAAGCAAACAAACTCTGACTAACAGTGTCACTCTGTCAAAATGTCGCCTAATGAGATCAAGATCCCTGCAGCTATGGACATTCATTCTTGGGCTAGCAATCAGCAATGCTTGTAAATTTTTATCATCAGGTGTGGCTGTGTCGCATAAACAGACTTGATTGCCAGTTACATGGCTTTATCACAATAAAAGTAAGTTTGACACAAACAGAGGGCCTGGAAATAAACAAGTACCTAATGTACATACATAATGCTAGCTAGTCACATTCATGATGTCATGACCAAAACAATGGACAACCTGTGCAGGTCTAGTATTTCACAGGTAAATAAGTAGGGTACAAGACTAAGAAGGCACCACTTCACAATGCTGTTAACTGTTGCGGATCAACATCTTGCATTTGAAATAGGCATGAATTTATGGCCTTTTTGTGTTGATATGCTTACTATGTTTCGGTTTTGTTCTTTTTCAGGCTGTTGTTAGTTGTTGCTACAAATATGCCAAAGATATGTGCCATAGGGTTATGTCCGAATCTACAAGGCAAGAAAAGTGAGATATCATTTCATAAATTTCCAAAAGACAAAAGGTTGAAATCACTCTGGAAGCAAAAATGTTCTCGCAAAGACTCGTACTTGAACCCAGACACAGCTGTAGTATGTTCTGAGCATTTCAATCCTGAAGACTTTCAGAATAGCTTTAGGGCACAGTTCATGCCAGGGAAGTTTAATAAGGTACTGAAGAAGGATGCGGTGCCAAGTTTGAAGCTGCCTGCCAACTATTCACAGTAAGTACCTACCCACCTTCAATCCACATAAGTGGCTCAGTGGCTCACAAAGTGTCCTGAAGTGTATTTTTAGTATTCTAGTAATGATCATTAACATTGTCAACAACCTAATATGTTGCCTGCTGTAGGACATAAGGATAGAAATGTTCTGGAAATGAACATGAGCAACATTTAGCATTCACGTGAAAGTGGTATACAGCACATTTTTTTTCTAAACATTATGACATTTCAGTTTTTAATCATGTTGCTTTTTCCTCAGGTTAAACGCCGATACACATGGCTCCATCCGAATAGAAATGGCGATAAAATGAGCAGATGTCCAGTGTTGAATATTGAGCACCTTATTTTCCATGAATCAAACACAAACCTGCCTTTTTCTACCTACACTACCTTGTTGCGAGCGAACGTGAAACAAAGCGAGTTCTCGCTGTATAACTGGAAAAATGTAATATAAAATATAAAATATAAATAATATGAAAGAAAAGTCGTAAGTGAACGCTATTTTCTGTAACAAAGGTTTCTTTAAACATGCTTGGCCTCTGGAGTCCAAACCGTTGACCTTAGCTCAAATCTGAGGCCACATTAGCGAAAGCTCTGTAAAAGAGCTATCGATTACATTTTCAACGTCGTCCTAGCTCCTTTAATTCACCTTCAACGGCGGCATTTGTCAGAAAATGTCGAAATTTACAAAAAGGGGGCATTTTTTGTTTCATGAATTCTGGTGACCTCAATATCGACCTGAGCGAAAAATAAAAGTAGCTTCGTAATGCTTTTGGACGAGCTTTCGAGCATTTTTCGTTTTTGCCTAACGATGCCCAGGAGGCGAGTTGGAGGGGGAGCGTAAAAACGTCCCACCCCCCACCCCGCTCCCGCGGCATGAGACGTTCGGACTGGAGCAGCGGCACGGTGCAGGTACCTTATCCGTGCCTTCTGGTCCCGGCCAGGCCCAGTAAATATGTTCTCTCGATCGAGTTATCCCCGTCTAGTCCTGAGCCTTCTGGGCCCAGATACCTAATTGGTCGGCCGGTGCCTTCACCGCAGCTGTCTGTCGACATGCAAACGTGTTCCAGCAATGATACGCAATCTTAAGTACAAACCTTCTATATAACGTTGAAATAATTGATAAGATTGTAGACTTTTCACAAATGTACAACTGGTACAACATATAAAAACAAAAGGTTATGTATCATAAATTGCTGCCTTTGTCCTCAATCAACATGTTCCTCATCCGCATTATCACCCTTTTCATACTGCCTGTTCCTTCGCACAATCCTTTGTTTCATTTCCAGACCACCGATCCTTAAGCCAGCTCCTCGCGGTGGAGACGGCGGCACCGCGCTCGCCTGCCCGGAGGAAGACGGCGGCACCGCGCTCGCCTGCCCGGAGGAAGACGGCGGCACCGCGCTCGCCTGCCCGGAGGAAGACGGCGGCACCGCGCTCGCCTGCCCGGAGGAAGACGGCGGCACCGCGCTCGCCTGCGCGGAGGGAGACGGCGGCACCGCGCTTGCCTGCGCGGAGGGAGACGGCGGCACCGCGCTCGCCTGCGCGGAGGGAAACGGCGGTACCACGCTCGCCTGCGCGCAGGGAGACGGCGGCACCGCGCTCGCCTGCCCGGAGGAAGACGGCGGCACCGCGCTCGCCTGCCCGGAGGAAGACGGCGGCACCGCGCTCGCCTGCGCGGAGGAAGACGGCGGCACCGCGCTCGCCTGCCCGGAGGGAGACGGCGGCACCACGCTCGCCTGCGCGGAGGGAGACGGCGGCACCGCGCTCGCCTGCCCGGAGGGGGACGGCGGCACCGCGCTCGCTTGCCCGGAGAGAGACGGCGGCACCGCGCTCGCCTGCGCGGAGGGAGACGGCGGCACCGCGCTCGCCTGCGCGGAGGGAGACGGCGGCACCGCGCTCGCCTGCCCGGAGGGAGACGGCGGCACCGCGCTCGCCTGCGCGGGAGGAGACGACGGCTGTTCGTCCGCTCGGTCTGGAGGAGCCGGCGGTAACGACCCTGCGTGCTCTCGAGGCAGACGTGTTCGGGGAAGCGGCACCCCTTCTGCTCGGTTTGGGAGCGTTCGCCAAGCCGGAGGCGGTGTCAGTGACCACCTCTACTTTCTACGGGCAGAAAATGGCACCGCGCAGTCCGCTGGCTGGAGGAGGCCGAGCGATAAGTTGGCTGCGCTGAAATCGAAAACGAAGACGAAGCTGAGTAAGTACCGGACCAAGTGCCGGAACCTTCGCCGCGAGAACGACCGTCTCCGAGCCGAACTCGAGAGAACCCGTGCCCTCCAGGCTCACAGCTGCCTCTCGTCTGCTCAGCAGCGAGCTCTGGTTACTGGCAAGCGCGTCACCTGGTCCGAACAAGACGTTGGAATGGCTCTCGGGCTTCGAGTACTCTCACGTCGTGCGTACTTGTACGTTAAGGACGTCATGAAAGTGCCGCTGCCCGCCTTCTCCACCCTGTCAGACTGGATGCGGCACTTCCAGATGACTCCGGGTGTGATCGAGGCCGCAATGAGGGTCCTCGAGTACTCTGCGTGCGACTTCTCTGATGCTGATCGTCTTTGTGTTGTGTCCTTTGATGAGATCGGCCTGGACAGTCGCATCAGCTACGATCAAGCACACGATCAAATAATCAGCGCCTCAAAGATGCAAGTGGTGATGGTTCGCGGATTGGCTGCTTCGTGGAAACAGCCAGTCTACTACGGTTTCGACGAAGCCATGACAGCCGACACGCTGCTGTCCATCATCGCCCGCCTTGAGTCCATCGGTCTGAAGGTCATCGCTGCCGTGAGCGACATGGCGCAGCCCAACCAGCGTGTTTGGGCTGATCTGGGCGTGACGAGCGCCTTCTCGCCAGCGCCCCACCAGACGTGCTTCGCCAACCCTGCGGACCCTAACAGGTATGCTACTAAAACTCTATGACTAAAACTACTGATGTTATAAGCGTTCCTTTGTATCAATGATACATGATAAGAAATACTTGATTAAATTATGTAATACAACTAAGTAAACATTTTGAGTTAGAATTTGTCACCTGAGAAGTTAGCAATTACAGAATATAAATGAGCGTGATCGGTTTGCTTCCATTGGCAATATTAACATGATGAATATTGAATATATCATTGGAACTGATGTATCCACGCATAGCCAGTAGCCACGTATCGCTCTTATGACGCTTACAAGGGTATCTTCATCGACTTAAAAGGAATATAAGCGTTTTCCGATTTCTTAAGCAAGAACAGTTTTGAGCACAAAATGAAAAACCATAATGTAAGTGTTTTTCATTTGTGAAATTATGACCTGGTTCCTGTATAGAATAAGGCTGAAAAGTTAGCAGTATTCTACGCTATGGAGTTTGGTACTGGTAACACCAGTTTTGATTTCGTAGAGAACTTCGAGACCTTTCGCTATATTTTCACAATGTTTGTTTATGCGTGGATTTGGAATCACCTTTTGGAATTTCGATTGTCTCTCCGCGCAAGATATGTCTAATACCTATGTATTGGATGATAGATATACATATACCGAGGATCTTGATAGAAGAGTTCGAGTATTTCAACCGATTTAATTCATATTTTTATTATAGATCTGGCCCAAAATTTCACAAATTCGTCCATAATCATTACGGTTCTCAATAAGCTAACCAACTCGTAATCAATTTTTTTTTCTTAACGCTTACATTCCTTTTGAAGAAAAAAAAACTGTATAATAGAAGCTGCTGCTGGTGCTGCACTTTATTAATAACCATTATCGTGTGCTCTTCCTCTTCAGGCGTGTCTGGGTGTTTTCTGATACGCCTCATCTCATGAAGCTGCTACGCCATCACGTGCTAGAATCAGGCATGCGTCTGGAGGACGGCACAGTTCTCAACGCGGCCGTCTTCAACGCCGTTCTGCAGCTGCAAGCAACATCAGAGATGAAGGCCTGTCACAAGCTAACGCCACTCCACGTAACGGTGAGATGATATTTGCACTCACTTTTCCTTTGCATTTTTTTTTTATTTTTAGTTGGGCGGGGGCTTAGGCGCTGCGGCGAGCTGCCCCCCCCCCCCCCCCCGCCTGGGGCGCTGCGGCGCTGAGGGCGGCGGGGCGAGGCATACATTTAAACTGGAGCCATGAAGATAGAATTTGATGTAAAATATAGATTTGCCAACTGTAACTATATACCTATGTGTTGTTTGCTACTTATTATTTTATTCCGACCTGTTTTCCAAATACTCTTGCCAATTTCCAAATCAAGCACTGCCACATTTTTTATCTTCGTTCAATGTTCGCATACCATCGAATATCGTTACAGTTTATTTATTTATTTTTTACTATGCTTGACCAGCCAATATGTGTCTTTCCATCCGCAGGCTCGAGGACAAACCAGCCAGCGGGTGTACCTCGCCACCCAGCTGTTCTCCGCGAGAGTGGCGGCCTTCGTCCGTCTGTTCCTGCCACAGTTCGCAGCGGAAGCTGCAGCAATCGAAAAAATGGACAGGCTTTTCGACGTGCTGAACAGCAGCTCTGCCTTCGACGCAAAAGTGGAGCGGAGAGGGTTCGGAGCGACTCCGGAGGCAGAAGCAGTGCAGCGGCAGGCGCTCGCCGAAGGAGCCGAGCTGATCCGCGGCGCAGTGAAGGTGACGCCCGAACGGTCATCTGCCCAGCCCCCTTTCAAGCGGCGCCGAACGGGACCACCGCGCAAGCTGCCGTTTCAGCAAGGGTTCCTCCGGAACATCCAGTCGGTGGTTGGCGTGCTTGAGGACGTGCGCAAGTTTGGCCTCAAGTATGTCCTTACGTCGCATCTAAATCAGGACCTGGTGGAAAACTTGTTTTCCCAAATCAGGGCCATGTGCGGCGCCGAAAATCACCCGACGGCTGTTGGCGCTCAAATGCGACTGAGGATGCTGCTGATCTCTGCGCAGCCGCTGATGGCGGCATCAAGTCGGTCGCCTGCGATCCCAGTAAGAATGCTGCGGACTGCACAGCCGGACAGTACCCAGTACCTGACAGGACGTGCGCTACACCGCTGCGCTCCGTCGGCGTGCCCGACCACGCCTTCCTCGGGCTCCGGCGCGGCCGTGGTGCCTCCGGCCTCCGGCGCGGCCGTGGTGCCTCCGGCCTCCGGCGCGGCCGTGGTGCCTCCGGGCTCCAGCGCGGCCGTGGTGCCTCCGGCCTCCGGCGCGGCCGTAGCGAATCCGGCCACCCGTCCTGATACTGCAAGCACGGCCACCATCCCAGCCACTCGCCAAGCCGTCGGTCCGGACAACACAAGGGACGCTGATGAGGAGGCGGCCGAGGAGGAGGAAGAGCTCCTCACTGCCACCTTCTCGGAGGCAGTGGGTAGAGGCCCGCCACCGCCGATAGTGCTGGATGAGGACGAGCGAGACGAGGTCGAGTTGGGCAGTGTGGGAGAGGAGTTGCGGAGTCAGGCGGAAGAGGCGTTTTCTTTTGTTGCCGGATACGTGGCGTCTAAGTGTCGCTCCGTGGACGCAACGCTGGGCCTGCCGACGGACAGCGGGGACGCCGGCGCTCAGTGCGCATCAGTGCCTGCCTCGTGGATCCGGGCACTCAGCCGTGGCAGCCTCACTGTGCCGAGTGAGCAGTGGCTGCAGGACTGCCGCGAGCTGGAAGTTGCCTTTTGCGCAGCTATGGGAAGGCGATATTACCCGCACTCGGGTGTGAAACGCCACCTCCTTGAACAGCTCAAAATGAAAGGAGTTGGACGAGCCGACGTTGTCCTCAAGAAGTTCGTGAGCACGCGCATGTGGATCCGAATTCGTTTGTTAAACGAGAATCGCGCAGCGGAGGTGGCTCGTCGTCGAGCTTTGAAGCAGTTGCGGCAACATGCCCAGTGAACTGGAAACATGTGCGTATCACATGGTGAACGGGGCAGATCATTGGGTGATATTTCTTGTGTTCTGAAAGGTACCGTGGGAATAATTTAAGAATGAACTCTGCTATATTCCATGCCACCGTTATGCTACCGTTCTAAATGTCAATGACTGCCGGGAAATATGCGGACATGTAGTGTGAACGTTGTTATTCCTCATGTGTATAGCTCTCGAAATCCTCATCTGTATTTATCTCGGCGACGATCTTTCAACATATAAAATACTCGCTCCCGTTTCTGGTGTTTTGTTCAAAATGATATCTATCCATCGCGGAAACAGACGTGACAACATGCTTAACGCCAAGACGTAGTGTGGACCATGCGGAATATCTCAAAGTGTTTTGAGATAATGTTGGGGGTATTGCAATTTGTGGAGCAGAGGGGGCTTAAACAGTTAGGTGCCGTCAGAGCCAGATACCCCAGTCAGATTTCAACCACCGTTGCTCTCTGGGAATGCATCACGGGCTGTACGGAGTTTTGGAGAGGCCCAAAGATTAACGGAGATTCATTTCTTTTCATGCACTACCACTTCCATTATTGGCGTAATATCTTGTCCTTTTTTAGGGCAAACTAGACATTTGGAACGGACCATGGTCTAGTGCCCCCCCCCCCCTGGATCCGTTACTGGAATGCAGAATGTCGCGTGAAATTATCCAGTCTTGTACAGCCATCGTCACCAATAGCTGCACTTTCTGGATTATTTTGGTGGATATCCTGAATAAATTTGAGCGGGATTAGTTACTTGATAGGGAATGCAGGACATTAAAAAAACATAAATTGTGTGAACCGGCCGAACCACAAGCGCAAAACATCGATTATCCGCAAAATCCGTCGGGCGTTCATGCCTATGCACAGCCCAGCGGGCGGTACGCTAGGGTATCGTGACGTCACTGCTGCTTCGTCGGTTGCCGAGCCAAGTTCCAAGATGGCGGCGCCCACGCATGCCCACTTTTGAGGGCGGAGCGGCCTACCTTATATATATAGCCTTGGACTGGACTATCAGCTGATCACGGGCCGCTTGTGACAGTGACGACTCAGACTGGCGAGTGATTGGTGTGGTGCGGAGGATTGCGATCAGTGACAAATATTACCGGTGTGGTAAACGTGAGCAAAGTGTGGAGTGCCGTATACATCAGTTTTCAAGTGCGCGAAGTGTGTGCATGCTTGCTTACACGCGGAATTAATTTGTTTTGGGCAGCATCGCGAAATAATTTATCGTGAGACAAGCAGGACGTCCGCCATCAACGTTCGGGGCGACAGAAAGGTAAGTCACTGACCGTTGGCGTTGACCGCG